ACGGGAGTCGAGAGGCACAGAAGGGGGTAAAAATTGTACCTGGATGTGTCCTTTGTCTTAAGTGTACACATAGACTTAGAGCTCTTTAAAGATTAAGCTGTCACTTGGTACCATTATTTCTATTTTCTATCTTTATTTTCTTTGTAACCATTTTTTAAGATCTATATTTGCCAGCAGTTAAGAAACAGAGCAATAGCCATTGTAACCATATGATTTATAAGCTTCTTTAATAAACCTGTAACTGTTTAAGCTTTAACCTGACTCCTTCAGATGCTGTAACAGAACCAAGCACAATTTAAAAGAACTTCAGCCGGTCATAAGGGACAGGTATAGGGGGAGCTTGGGCGTTTGGATCTGTGTCACTCCCAGTTGACAGATCCATTGGGGCATCTCTCAGTCTTCCCTAGACTGCCCGCTGCGAAGGGATCCTGTATCCTAGCAGCTGAAATCTGAGATGTAATAAGCTCTCCCTATAAACTCTGGGGCGTCTGTCAGCCTGTTGGCTGCCCTCCGCGACGGGACCCCAGTCCTAGCGGTAAAGTCATGGACGTTAAACCTTTTCTCGGTCACACACACACACACACACCTGTCGGCTGACAGACCCTTCCACCTTCCAGGCCCTGGTCTCAAGGCTGCAGCCCAGCAGGTAGCAGGCCATAGCCTCCCCTTCGCTGGGAGCCAGTTCTGTACCAACCCTGGTCAGTGCCCAGCTGTCCTCCGCTCAGCTCTTTATAACAGGGCTGCCCCAACAAAACACCCTCTGATTGGCTCCCCACAAGCCTCTCCCTGATTGGCCGGGGCTCTGCTCAGGCGCCCTCCAGCCAGTTTTAACCCTTTCTGGCCAAAGTGGGGCAGCTGCCCCACTACAAGGAGTCAGCTGGCCTCGTCTAGTTTAGGCAAGTACTTGTACTGCACTCATCTCTGAAGCATCCGTGCAGCGTCCAGCAGGGAATTAAGCACTGTCATGTGGTTGACATGTATTTGTGTGAGTGTGTAGACACAATCTTCCAGCCATTACACGTTTACGTGCAGGGAGGGTGTGTGAAGAGGGAGACGGTGCTTTAAAGCTAGCTCCCTGCACCACTTCTGTAGGAGGCAGCAGTGCGGGGCAGCGGGCACCTGCAGGGTGCTGTCTTGAAAGCTGATTTCCTGTATATACCAGCTCCTACCTGCCTCCCCATAGCACTCTGCCTCCATTCAGAAGCAGGAGCACAGGGGGGAGCAGTAGGCTCATGGGTGCCAGTACATGCAGGGAGCCAACTTAAAAGCCTGTCTCCCGCCTGCACTCCCTCCTCTACCTGCCCCCAAGGCAGCAACACAGGTGAGGGGGCAAGTGGCTGCGAGTTTAACAGGTAACCGTGTAGCTGCTGAAAATCTCAATGGCTACATGGTGCAGGCTCTGCAGTATAAAGCTTCAATAAACTTTATACTGCAGAGCATGCAGCAAAGCCTTCCCTGAAGAGGGTCTCTCAGCCCCTGCTGGCTCTGCTTCTGGGAAGGAGGCGTCCCTGCCAGAGAAGCTGCCTGGAGTGAATCCTCCTTCTTGGGAGTGGAGCTGGCAGTCCTGCTGCAGCAAAGCTGCTTCCCAGGGAGTTAGCCGAGTGTAACGGACACCATTAACGGATCAGCATCAGTTAAACAATTCATCAGTTACACTCTAACATCCCTCACTCAGACCCACCAAACATACAGTGCCGTGTTGTTATCCACAAGAAGCGACATGTAAGGTATCTACGGAAAGCTCGCGACTTGTCAAGGCTCACAGCCATCGTGAGAGGTGTGTAGGGTAGCATTTAAGGAACGATGTAACTATGCTGACTCTGTTTTATGCCCTTGGAGTAACAGTCCCCAGAGGGGTCATGTGCCTTGGTGATGGCCCATTCCAGCAAGGGAGAGCTGACACTTCTCTCTGGTTAGCTGGTGATGTTAATGCCAGGCTCAATTGGCCTGTTCCATCCCGAGGCTTTGGAAGGCAAATCATCAAAACAACTGCAAACAATGGAAACCACTTGGCAGTAGAAAGGAACAGTACAACACGCGGGGGATTGGTCAGAAGGCGAGAGGCCCCCAGAATCCCTTTATGGAGGAGCCATCTTGCTGAGCGAAGGTGTTTCATGGAAGTTTGATTCCTGTGACACTAGCCAGCTCAACACCACCCTGAACCTGGGGCAGGAGAGGCCTGCTTTGACAGCCAGGAAGGGAACTAGGACAAAGGACACAGGTTTTCTGTGAGTAGCCCCGAGCAGGGCTGGATATCACAGGGAATGCTCCAAAGGGACTGGTGTGCACCCAAGAGGCAAAGACAGGACTGGCCTAGCCCACAACACAGTCCTTGAGTGGTTGATGGGCTGACAGGCTTAAGGAGCTGACTCCTGCCACAAGGGCAAGCCTCCCTCTGGCTAGAGGGTGTCTCCCAGTCCTGGGTACCTCAGGAATATCACCAGCACCTAACCCCCTGGCTGCGTCTAGACTGGCAGGATTTTCCGCAAATGCTTTTAATGGAAAAGTTTTCCGTTAAAAGCATTTGCGGAAAAGAGCGTCTAGATTGGCACAGACACTTTCCCGCAAAAGCACTTTTTGTGGAAAAGCATCCATGCCAATCTAGACGCGCTTTTCTGCAAAAAAGCCCCAATCGCCATTTTCGCGATCGGGGCTTTTTTGAGCAAAACAAATCTGAGCTGTCTACACTGGCCCTTTTGCACAAGAGGACTTTTGCCCGAACGGGAGCAGCACAGTATTTCCGCAAGAAGCCCCGATTTCTTACACGAGATCGTCAGGGTTCTTGCGGAAATTCAAGCAGCCAGTGTAGACAGCTGGCAAGCTGCTTTTGCGGAAAAACTTGCCAGTCTAGACACAGCCCCTGAGTTTGGGGTTTAGGTGCCTACCTCTCAGTCTGAGGCTTCACTGAGATCCACAAAACTCCCACTGGCCCCTATAGAAACCTAAACTCATTAAGCATCTACCTCAGGGCATATGCACCTCTTCCCTTGAGCTACCTGGGCACCTAGCTGCTGCTTAAGCCCCAGTGCAATCCACGGGGAAAACAAGGGCCAGCTGACGGACATGGTCCAATATGCATGCTCAGAGCCCACTAGTTGAAGCAGTCCTGCTGCCCGAGGGGAGGTGGGGGTGTCTGGTTGGCACACTCAGCTGGTCAATGGCCCCCCACATTCAATTCCCTCATTTGCTTGCTGGGGGGAGAGGAATGACACTGAGGCCTCTCAGCTCTCAGGAGAGGCTCCCTAGCCATGGGCTCAGGGACACTCTGAGGGAGGACCCCTCAGTTCCTCCCCCTGAAGGTGCTGTTCTCTGGGTCAGTATCAAATCACAGGAGCAGGGCTCGGGATTCCCCACCTCCCAGGTCAATCGTGCCCCGCCAGCTCACAGACACGCTCCCTCTGGCCGAGCGACTTGGTGTGGGGGGAGGAAGAGGAAAGAAATGCAGCGAGACTCCGCACAAGCGAAAGGAAGTGCTGCAAGACAGCCGAGCAGAGGGACACTCAGCAGTCTCCAGTCCAGGCTTGAGCGAGAAGGGAGGAGAGTGGAGGCTGGCAGGTCGGCACCAGAGATGGTAGGTCTAGCACCTTCTTCTGCCCAGGGATGTGGTTGGCTTCAGCTGTGCAATATTTAGGAAGGAGTGAGGGAGGCAGAGGAGCGGCTCACAAGAAAGCTGCCAGCTCTGTCCCAGGCACCAGGAGTGTGGGTACCGGCATGGGGACAGGGCCAGAGACAGGGACTGCCAACAGCCCCCACAGCAGGGGGACAATGCCCTGACAGAGCCCCGCAGAGCTGCAAAGGCAACTCCAGGTGGTGAGGAGAGAGAAGCGCTCTCCTGTGCTCCCCTCTCCAGTATTAAGGGGCCAAAGAAAGCTGCCAGCTCTGTCCCAGGCACCAGGAGTGTGGGTACCGGCATGGGGACAGGGCCAGAGACAGGGACTGCCAACAGCCCCCACAGCAGGGGGACAATGCCCTGACAGAGCCCCGCAGAGCTGCAAAGGCAACTCCAGGTGGTGAGGAGAGAGAAGCGCTCTCCTGTGCTCCCCTCTCCAGTATTAAGGGGCCAGCTTGAATCAGCAGAGCCCCCCACCTCACTGCCCAGCCTGAGCCGCTGGAGACAGC